CCGCGGGCTGTGCCCGGCCGGCTACGTCCCGTCTCCCCAGCGACTTCCAATCCCAGATGGGGCTCTTTCCATTCCTCCCAACCCCCACCTTTGGGTCCAGATCCATTACTGCTCTTCCCCCATCCCCCCTCCAAACGGCCAGATCTGGACGGGCACCTGGGGGCGGGGAGGCGCTCACCCAGCGGCTGCAGAAAGTCAGCTAGCGGCTGCAAGCGCCCGTTATTTCGGCAGGCAGGGTAGGCCGGGTGAAGGAATGTGCAGAAAGGGTCAGCCAATGGGGCGCCAAAGGGGACCCCAGACTTACCAGCACTGGAGGTGGAAGGCAGCCGGGCAGTGGTCACAGCACAGGAGATCCCCTCCTTCTTTGCAGCTATCGCAGCTGTCGTGGTTGGTGGCCCTGCCGCTTCTCCGGGGCTCCTTCTCAGGCTTCCGACTCCGCTTTTCTGCCTCGTCCGTCTTGGGGGGAGCCAGCAGAGCTTGGATTTGCTGCACACACATACAAACGGAGTGTGTGCACACTCGGAGCTCCCGGGCGGTCCGTCGCCCCCCTCGCGGGGCTTCTCCGTCACCCACCCCTCTCCCCCCTTTTGTCCTTCTTCCTCCCATCCAGGTTGTTCCCAGAACCTTTAAGCCCCCGGAAACACGGGGAGCCCACCCTAATCCCGCTCCTACGGCACAACAACGAGAACAGCTTCTTCCAAATGGGGAGGATCAGGATAGGGGGATGGGAAGGGTGCGCGGTTCCCTTCTCGCCACTTCCTTGTATGGACAGTGGGGGACTCCAAAGCTGGGCTCGGGAGAGGCCTGAAGCCGGTACCCGGACGTGCTGGGGGAAGCACAAAGGGGCCGACAAGAAGGGGGTGGGGAGGCCCGCCGGTGCAAGGAGATGGAGTGGGTTGGTGCCCCGGGAGAGCGAATCGAGGGCGGAGGATAGGTGAAACTGCTGCAAACGTCTTCGGAGGTTGAGCTCAGTCCCCCGAATTGCAAAGATGGGAGAGAGTGTGGGTGAGGAAGAATACCCCCCTCCCCCGGCCTTCTTGCGCTGCGAACTCAGGACCGGCTTTGTGGGGCGGAGGGTGGAGGTTCCCTCCCGGGGCTTGGGGAAGGGGATGAGGAGGGCCACTCTTACCTCCATCAGCCCCCCTGACGTGTCCAAGTCGTACACGATCGTCTTGGTCTCCATTTTCTCCCACATTCATCCACCTCCCGGGCTGGGCGCTCTCTGCTTCGGCCCCCCCAACCCCAGGGGGAGGGGGGTAGTGGGGGAAGGGGGCGCTCCTGACCCCGGTCCCCCTTCTTTTTCCCCAACACGGGTCCCGACTTCCTCGCCCTGGCTCCCCCCCACCCCCCGGCCCCCAGTCCCCGGGACGGCAGCGTCCTCCCCACGGGCCGTGAGGGGGGAGCGGCCCCTCAGTCCCGGCCCGGCGGCTGGCTGCACGGTGAGTCCCGGCTCCGGGGGTCAGGCCTCGGCGGGGCCTAGTCCCACAGGCTAAAGCCGGCGCTGGTGACCGCTGGTCCGGTCGGGAAGGCTGGCGGGTGCTGCCATCCCGGGGTTGGGGGGATCGGAAGGGGGGTGAGAGGTTAGGTGAGGTTGTGGTACGTGAGGTGACTGGGGGGGGAGGGTGATGGGGGGTGGTCCCCGGGCTCCGCCTCTCGCCGCCGCCGCCGTCTGCGTCCCGGCTGCCGCGCACTTGGCGCAAACTTACCGCGAGCGCCCGCAAAGCCACCCGCGCAGGCGCCCCGGGATTGCCGCTCGCCGCGCGCAACCGCAGTGACAGCCGGCGGTGGGGCTCCTGCGCAGGCGCAGTGAGGTGATACCCCCCAGCGCGCAGCCGCGCTGGCATTCGTCTGGCGCTCTGAAGCCCCGCCTTTCTCCCCTGCGCCTGCGTATTGAAACAAAAAGGCTGGACCCGAGGTTTTACGCAGGCGCCTGGGAGAACGCATGAGGGTCATAGCGCAGCCGCAGTAAGAAGGGGACGCTTCATCCATTGGTGTTTGTGTGGAGACCAAGACGATTTGGTTCCCGCGCAGGCGTGTTGAGGGGGGAGATCCCCTCCCGCCCCACAATACAACCGCTTCTTGCGCAGGCGTAGTCTCACTCGCAGGCCCTCACAAGAATGCTTCTCCTTTCGCCATTTTGGTAATGGGATATAGTCTACTATGTCCTTGGCGTCCTCAAGCATGTATACAAAGGAGCAAAATGTGGTGTTTCCTGGAGCTGGTAGGCTGTAGGTGACAGCAGTACTCAGGGATGTTGTATTGAACTGTTTCGTTCCAGTGTCAGGTGTGGCTGGGTCAGGCGGCCATATTAGTAAAGAGGAAAAAAGACATTGCGACGGAAAACGATGCTTTTGGTGGCTGACTGGATGGCTGCCGTTCCTACTTGCTTACCATTCCCAAGTTAATTTTGGCCTGAGCATCCCTGCCTTGCGTAGTGATGGCGGCATGGAGAGTTCCGCCTGCTTGTCACTACACTCTCTTGTTCCCGAGAATTGCTCCTCAAGTGGTAGCCAAAAGCGAAGTTTGTAATGATGACAACGCCCAGCTACCTGCCTACGGTGGACTTCAAATCCCAGTTTGCAATGCGCAAGAAGGCCAAAGGGCGGGCGAGAGAGCATTGCATCTGGGAGCAAGAATCGCGATGGGTCTGATGGATTGTGGGAGTCGTAGTTCCGTGTGCGTGCACTGCACTGTACGGTAGGATGGACTCCGGCAAAAAGATTTGCCTGCCTGGAAGGAATACTTATGATCGCTGAAGTGCTGTATTCTGGGATTTGTAGTCTGGAGGTCTCACCTCGCATTCTGGGCGGGGATCATACTTCTTTCTCGGCTCCCGCCCCTCCCCCGACTGTAAATGAAGCAGTGGAATGGCATCATTGTGCCTGACACTAGGTGTTTAGTTGGCATTGCTGCCAGGTAGCTGTGTGTTGCGCACTTTTGATGTTAAGGGATGCTTAGCGTTCGCAGAGGCATAAAACTGGAAAGGGCTTACACACAATCTATGTTAATCCTCTGACTTCCAGATGCAGGTTCCAGAGAGGAGCAGTGATTGCCTAATTCACATAAAGATTTTGTGGCAGACCTAGAAATAAAAACGTATTTCTTGACTTCCGGACCAGGACACTGTCCATTACACCATGTTAACTGTGAGTTGTTGCTGCTCCTTCCATTGTTACAGTAGGAAGGAAGAATTAGTTAGAGAGGGGATGTCAGTGTATGGTTTTAGATTTCGGTTTTTCTGACTTTTCTGATGATTCTCTTAGTGCATGGCTTGTATTGTTCTGGTGGGGACCAGGCAGGGAGGTGGTGGGGGGAGGAAATGTCATGTGAATCTGCTGTTCTCCGTCCTCTACCAGCTTCAGCAAACAAGACATCTTAGTAGCCATGAGTCAGACGGAGATGTGGCTCTCAGAGAGGGCTGAGCTAGATGTTTGGAAGTGGTCAGACATAATTTCTTCTGAGGCTGTACTTCATGCCACACACTCTCAGAATTTGTGTCCTCTCTCACTTCCTTCCTGCTGCTCAGGGCTCAGCTGTGTGCTGTGTCAGCCTGAAGGCATTTTGGGACAGATAAGCCAAGGGCACATTCCCAATGAGACTTTGCTGTGTTCCACACTGTCAGTTGCAGTTGAGAACAGGTACAGGTAATGGAGTAATGAGGGAAATAATACTTGACTCTGTTGACAAGTGCCAAGGTAACTAATCACTCCACACACCTTCCTTATGGAATCTGGAGGGTGAGGGTGTTCCATGAGTGTCAGGAGTTGGTGCCATCTTGGCCAGATCCAGCCCAGAATTTTTAAGGGAGGGTAAGGAGAGTAGGTGGATACAGATGCCTTTGTAAGTGACCTCTTGTGGCTAATTTAGGCACTGCACTCTGCAATGACGAACCTCTCCATCCAGGCAAGGTGGCCTATGCTAGAGCCTGCAGGTGGCCAGCAGTGAGTTGTTAAGACCTTAGAAGAAGGTGCTGGTTGCTGCCGTTATTTCTTTCAGAAATTGTGTCTGCTGGCTTCTGAGTTCCCATAACTCCTCTTTGCCTGCCTCTTGGTCATAGCTGGAGAGCAGCCATGCAGAGCACACCTCTAAGTATGGATGTGGATGCCAGGGGCGAAGGGTAGTGGTATAAGGGCTGGAGGAACCAAACCTGGCAAACTTTGGCAGATCCTCTCCAGCCAGCTTTTTTCAGAGCCCGTGGATAGGGCTTTTGCTAAAATAGCCAAGCCCCTAATTTGTATTAACCCCTTGCCTGGTAGTTTGGATGTTCTCTGAGGCCAAGACAGACTAGGTTTGGGTCTCCCTGGTGGTGTAGGGGTTAAGTCTCAGAGCTATCATGCTATTATCACCATTGCAGCCTGAGTTCAATTCCCGGCTAGGGAGCTAACCCACATGGCACAGCAGACCTCTCCTGTCTCGCCTGCTGCTCCCCTCAGCAGTGTATTTCAGTCAATCTGCCTGTTCTACTTCCTACTCTGCTATGGTGAATCCTCTCACCACCCAACACCTCTGGCCTACTTGACTCTGTTGACAATAAAAATTAAAAAAAAAAAAGACAACCTAGGCTTCTTGTCCAGGGGGTTCAATCTGTGATTTCTAGTCTAATTTCCTCACTGGGAAAGCGGGGTGGAAAGATGTGTGAGGTTTCGTGGGCCTTGTCAGCAATACAGTGGCATTGGAAAGGGGATTGGGACTGTGCCAAACTATAGTTCTGAATCTAGCCAAGAGGAGGAAATGAGACATTGGGGTGGATAAGTAGTTAGATTCCTGGACTCCCACAGCCCTGTGGTTGGGGGCTTTCATTTTACCTGCCATCTGTTGCACCAACCTTGTTGGGACAGTGGTTCCTGCAGCACCTGCATGTAATTGGTTTTTTATAAAATCTGGGGACAGTCAATTGGTGGGTCAGTGTGCCTTCTGGTCCTGAAGTCCACATCCCATTTTTCTCCCACCTCCCTGTGTTTCAAGAAAGCACCATCCACTGGGCCATTACTTGGTTTTTTCAAAAACACCATTTTAATAAGGAAACAACAGAAATAGAAGATTGTTCTCTGGCTGGAGCCCAGACCCCATATAATACATTACATGTACAAAGTGGCCTGCAGCTAGCTCCTGGGCCTCTCTGACCTCCCTGTTCCAGACCAAATTCCTGGGTCCTTGGACCTCTGCTCCTCTCCAGAATATGTCTGCTCTGCTCTCCTTATCCCAAAATACAGTGGCCAGAAGGAAAGCCTGGCAAGTGGCTGAGGTTGGTGGGCAAGAGGACGTTTGCAACAGCCAGATTGACATTAGGGGTGGGTCTCCCTCTCCTTAGGGCTGCCAGGGGAGCACTGAGGTATCCTGCTTTGGTGTGGAGCATGAGTGCCTAGGGAAGCCCAACCTGAGCTTCGATTAGGGCCCCTAAACCCCTTAGGATCCCTTAGAATTATTGCCTCCACTGGGAAGGGACCGGAGGCAGAAATGTCCATTCCTGGGACCTTAGCAAAAAGACTGGAGACTTCCCTGGAGGGGCTGATGTCAGCATGCCAGGCCTCCCCAGAGGCTACTGTTGAGAGCAGTCTGGGCACTGGTGAAGGCCCTGTGAGGAGCACCCTGGTGCAGTTTCCACCACTAAGTTGATCCTGCAGCAGGCTGCTGGGTGCCAGGACTGGATAGTGGTCATGTGGAGGGAGGTGCACCCACTCTGCCTGTGAATTCCAGGTTGGCGGTCCAGGGCAGGAAGGAGGGTCAGGAGAATGCTGGTTCTTGATGCACGTGTTCCAGCTGCATTCTGTTCACAGTCAGATGTCCCCTGACTTGGGCCCAAGGAAGGGCCCTAAGAGGCAATGGGACCAAGAAAATAGATCCAGGTGGACATTGCAGGAAGGGCACAACTTCTTGAGGGATTGCTAGTGTCTCTTCCCAGGTGGTATGTACAGGAGGTGGAGGGACAGCAGGAAGCTGGGAGCTTTGCTGCTGGGCTGTGATGCAGGGCTCAGCTGGCTTCCACAGGCTGCCCCACCTAGATGGAGACTTCATATTCTCTGGTCTCCTGCAAAGGAAAGAGACTGCTGGGAGTTGGAAACTTGTATAAGCTTTGCCTGCCTCTAATCCACCTGCCCAAAGAAAAGGGAAAATGGAAGGGGGTTTGGCAAGACCCTCAGGGACACCCTCCCAGAGAGCACAGAATTGGATCCTGGGTAGGATGTCAGGGTCGGCATGAATACTTACTCCAGATTCATAAGTGGGATTGTCAAACGCTGACTCCACGGTGATCCGGTCATAGGGGCGGGGGCGTGTTCGGGGCAGCTGCAGGGGGCTTTTACCCTGGAACCTGTGGGGCAGAGAAGCCCGTGAGTCAGGAGTACAGGGTGGGTGTGGCTCAGGTATGTAGGGTAGGAAGGGAAGCCAGACTCACCTGGAAAAGTAAAGGTACACACCTCCCACCAAGAGCGCCATCCCTACCAGAGGCAGGAAGATGGCAGCTGCAATGTGGGCAGCATCCAGGGTGCCAGAGGCAGCAGGTGCTTTGGCAACTGAAAACAGAAGATAGAAGCGGGGCAGAGGTCCCTGTCACCCTGGACTCCATCCCCTCCCCACCTCCCAGGGCATCTGGCCACGAGTTCCCTCTAAAAGAGTGGGGGCCGGGAAGGAGCTTTGTGCCCTGCTAGTCCTCAATCTCTCTCTTTCTCTGCCCTCCCTCCTAGGGGAACCCATGATCTGGGAGCTGTGAGAACCAGGGGCAGGGAGACTACTTCTCTGGCCCTCAAGGGTGAGGGCTCACCATCCAGGCTGCGGCCGCTGTAGAATCCATCCAGAGAGGCTGGAACAAGAGGGGAGGGCCAAGGGGAGTGGGTGAGCCCAGGAGGTCAAACCACTAAAGCAGGGAGTGGGCTGATCATGGCAAGGATTTGTCCAAGGAGAGCCCAGCCCAGGATTTGTCTTGGAGTCACTAGTTAAGAAGGATCTGGCAGACTGGGGAGATCAAGGGGACATGGGTAGGGGATTCTGTTCTTAACACTGGACATTATTGCCTTGGCAAGGGTTCTGGGGGTGGCAGAATACTCACCAGCCCTACAGATGGGTGGGGGGTCACTCCAATGTGAGGGGTGCCCAGGCACACACTTGATGCTAGCCTGGCCCTTCAGCACATAGCCGGGGGCGCATGAAAAGTGGACAGTAGTCCCCGCTGGATGCAGCCGCTTCTCAGGACTCCGGGCACCATTCTCAGGGGTATTGGGGCCATGACATGGCTTGAGCTGTTCCACTGCAACAGTCAGAGCCCAGTGAACACGCCAGGCCCCTTGCCTTCAGACGCAGCATCTTTTATCTCCTACCAGAGGCTTCCACCCAGTTGACACTTACAGAGACATTTGGGGGCTCGGTCACTCCACTTGGGGCTGCTGGCTTGACGATCATGGCAGGTGAGGATGGCACTTCCTGTCAGCACAAAACCCTGGTCGCAGATATACTGCACGGTGGCCCCCACAGGAAACTTGGGGCTTGAAATGAGGCGTCGGCTGTGCTCCACATCCCCAGGGTCATGGCAGGAAGTCACTATGGGTAAGGGATGATGGGAGGAAGTAGCCCAAGTCAAACTCCGCAAAAGCCACTCTGGCTTTATTCCAGGCCAGTCAACGTCTTCCTGCCATATAGCTCCACCACCTATTTATCTGTCCCTACCATTTTACTGATGTACTGCCCCCACCCCCCAATTTGTTCCCTTCCCATCCATCAGAGTCAATGAACTCTGACGGACCATCTATCAGGAACAAAATATTTGTGGATAACCCTGTGAAAAGGTATTATCCCATTTTTTTTAGAAGATTTATTTATTTATGCATTCAAGAACAGGGATGCAGGCCAGAGGTGTGGGTGGGGGTGAGAGGATTCACCAGAGACAGAATGGGGAACAGAACAGGCAGAGCTACTGAAATGCACTGTTGAGGGGAGCAGTGGGCGAGACAGGAGAGGTCTGCCGTGCCATGTGGGTAGCTCCCTGGCTGAGGATCAAACTCATGCTGCAGTGGCTGCGGACAACTTCATAATGCTGCATCTTAACCCCTTGCACCACCAGGAAGGCCCTATTATCCCATTTTATAGATGAGGAAATGGAGGCTATGAGAAATGAAGGAACTTCAAAGATACCAGTTAATGCAGGTTCAGAATACAGGGAGAGGCTTGCAGGTTGTGTTGGGGAGAGGAGCATGGGGAACAGGTACACTCACCCCTCTGGCAAGAGGGCAGGTCCTCACTCCAACTTAGGTCCCACTGGCACATGAGGACGCTGGGTCCCACCACCTGGTAGCCAGGGTAGCACTGGTAGGTGACCACGGTGCCATGTACCAGCTCTGGCTGTGACGGGCTCTTCCAGCCGTTGGGGATCTCAGGTAGCTCTGGACACGTGTCATTTCGGGGTACCTCTGGGGGCACAGGGCAACAAGATGCAGGCCCTCAGCATCAGAGCAGCTGTGCTAGCCTCCCTCACCCTGAGGGCTCTCCCACGCCTGCCACTTTGGCCTGGGCTTCGTTTGGCCTGGGCAGGCTGTGACACTTTTCTCCCTACTCCCGGGCCCCACTTTGCCTCCGCCTCAGGTCCTGTTTTCTAGATTCCAGGGTATGATCTAGGCTCTCGCTTTACCTCTAAAAGTATTTTGGCCATTCCTCACTCCTGAGAGAGGGGCCAGGTAGGGTGGGGAAAATTACTTCTCTTAAAGATTGTCAGAAAGGGAGAAAACAAGCACCTTCCCTTAGTTCCCTATTTTTGTTATGATCTTTTTCCTTCTGCTTACCTAAATCCCTCCTTTTGCAACAAAAACCTCCTCCTGTCTCCTAGGCCCTCAGGGAAGATAGAGAACAAGAGTAAATTCCTTCAGGTGACACCTGGAGCTTCTCCAGCTTTCCCTCCTCAGATAAGAGCATTCAGGGCCTTTCTGACTTGTCATGGTTTGGGTCTGCTTTCTGGCATCCCTTCTTCCCCAGGCAACAGGATGGAAAAGGGGCAAGCTCACCAAAAAAGTGGATGACAAAGCCCTGCTGATAGCCCAGCACTGAGGCCCCGGGGTCCGACTGAAACTGGATGGTGACGTCGGCCATGGAGGTAAAGAGCTTGAAGTGGCCTCGGGGCCCTGAGTACTGACCCAGGACCCGGGCTGTCAGGTCATCCCCATCATAGAAGGTAAGTACGTCGCCAGGGCCAATGCGTAGCCTGTGGAGGAGGTCTGTCAAGGAAGGCAGGCCTGGGGACCCCAGGAGGGCTGGGCAAGAGATACCCCAGAGCTCAAAGGCCAGCTTGGCCTAGCCCAGTGGCCACTCACACTCGGATGTCCAGCATGATGCGCTTGTCCTCCTCCACATGCACACCCCAGATGCAGTCCTGCCCACGGCTGTAGGGCTCTGGCCAGTTGGGGGAGAGCACCACGCCGGCTGAATCTGTGATCTCTCCGCTGCACACGGCTGAAAGGCAGGGGAGGCCCGGGAGGTGCGTCCCCTCTGTGTCCCCCCCAGTGCCATGTCCTGGGGCTGCAACCTGCCCACAAGAGTGCCTACCCATTGCTAGAGGGAACCCCTAACTTCTCAGCAGGCATTTTAAATCACACATATCACAGGAGCCTGTGGCTCCAGGGTCTGCAGCTGGGTCCCTGGTACCCTCCCTGCTCCCTGCCTTGGCAGACCCATCCAGTTGAGCCTACTGACCTCGGCAGGCTGGCTCTGTCTCATTCCACTGGGGGTCGTGGGGGTCAACACACTCGATGATGATGGAGCCCTGCTCCAGAGTGTAACCAGGGTCGCAGCTGAACTCCACAGTGGTACCCACAGGGTAGGAGGGTGCGCTGCTGCTGAAGTTGCCGTATTTGACAAAGGGCTCATAGCAATGGCCCTGCTGGAAAGCTGTAAACCACAGGGCCCAGCCCAACTCAGCCTTGACTTGGGCAAATGGGGCAGATATCCTACTGCCCTCCCCAGGGCCTTTCTCTTCCTGACTAAAAATGTATGCTCAGGCTGGAGCAGGGGCCTGGGACAGCCCAGAGCATCCATCCCTCTTATGCACAGGAAGTTGTCATGATTACCATTGTATTCCCAGTGCCTACTTTTGTGCTTACTGCACAGAGGCGCACAATACATGTTTTTTTCTCAATGAATTAATAAACACACGTGTTTGTCTCTAGAATGTCTCTTGCAGCCATTCTTCCCTAACGGTAGGGGCCTTTTTCACTCTAGAGAATTCATTCTTTTAGACCAGAGGGCCTGAGTCCAGGCAGGGGTCCTTTGCAAAGATGGGGTAGGGATCCTGGACTTGAGGGAAGAGGGCGAGAGAGGGCAAACGAGGCCCCAGGTGGGCAAGGGCTGAATTGAAAGGAGTGGTCGTAGAATATGGAGGCAGAGGGGAAGGGTGTGAGAGCCCTAAGCCCCTTGCTGAAGCCCCCCTCCCTGGTTAGACCCCAGCAGGCTCACCCTCATAGCGAAGGGCCATGCCTGCCGCTGCCCCACTGCTGTCGGTACTGAGCTCCACAAAGAAGTGTCGGCTGGAACTGAGCAGGCCCTCAATAGGCAGGTACTCCACCTCGTAGGAATCGTACACAGGTGGGGCCTCCACATTGTCCCCATTGCGGATGATGAGCCTGGTGGGGAGAGTGACAGCCGTGTGGATGGTCTCCCACCTGCATGGGGTGCGGCTTCCAGCTGGGTGTTACCAGGTCAGGCACTTCCATCCCACCTGTCATCATCCTCTGCCAGGGAAACCTTCTCAAAGTGCAGGTGCAGCCGCTGGCCCTCAGGAGCCTCAAGCAGCCAGTGGCAGGTGAGGTTGTTGCTATAGTTGCCCGGGAAGCCAGGAGAGACGATGCGGCCGGTGGTGGCATTGCGGATGACCCCTCCGCAGGCAGCTGTGAGACAGGGACAGGCGTGCAGTCTGGGCCCCTGTCTGGATCCCAGGCAGCCTAACAAGGCTTCCGGTCCAGTCCAGCTTGGCACCTTCTGCATGGCGCACCAGGGATCTTGTTTTCATGGTCCCAAAGGTCAGCCTCCTGCCTTGCGACCCAGCAGCTCTAGGCAGCCTGAACTCTAGAATCCCACCTCTTAAGCTTTTACCCCTCTGGACTTTTACTCCTCTGGGACTATTCATATGCAACTCCCTTGACCTTAGGTAGACCTGACTGTGGGGTACATCTGCTTCTTCTCCTGGTAACACTTCCTTAAAAGCAGTTATTACTTGGATATGCCCCTTAACTAGGACCGCTCCCCTCCCCAGGCAGGGGTCTTTTCAGACCAGGCACAGCGGTGGTCTTCAGTGTTTATTGAGTAAAATGAGTGAGTGAATGTACAAAAGAAGATAGGACTAGACCAGTGAAGACAAACATCTGCCATCCGTCTCCAAATCTTGTGCCCTTAGAGGACATTGCTAGCCAGGGGATGACCTTGAACACTTAAACAGCATTGCTGACACAGTCACACACCTCAGCTGACTCCTTAGGGCCTTTGCAGCACTGACCCCACTGGCCCGGGCTATCCTCTCTGTCCAAGGAGAGGTGGAGCTAGCCCCCATCAGTGAGGACAGCTGGGTTACTGGGTCACAAGTCTCGACAGTTAAGGGGTCTTAGGCAAGAGGAGAGTGACTGGTTTCAGGCAGCGCTTTTCTCTCCTGGAGACACAGCTCTAGGCCTGAACTCTCAGAGACCCGCCTGCTATGGCCTATATAGTGCCTTTGTCTCCACATGCTCAAGACAGCAGAATATTTTAACCCAAAAAGCTCCTGGAGAGGGCATGTGGTGAGTTTCTTCTCTGCAGAGGACAGACATTTCTGCTTTGTCTCAGAGAGGAACTGCCCTTCAAATCTGACCATGCCCCATCCTTTGCTTGGAGTAATTCAGTGACTTCCAATTACCCTCAGGCTGAAGTGCGAGATGGCGTTCAAGTGCTTTATGAATGTGACTCTGTCCGCTACACCCTCTTCTTTAGGCACGCCTGACCATCCTCACTATACCACGCTGCTCCACGTGTCCCTTTGTGCAGGCTGTTCCAGGACTCCACTGTCCTGAGCTGACATTCATGTCGGCTTTCATGCATCTCCTCAGGAAGCTTTTCTTTCTAGAGCAGCTCTCCCTTCCTCAGATCCCTACCTTACCTTGAGTCTTCCCCACTCACCACTTTCTATACTCAACTTGCTTAGCTGTTTGCCTGTCTTCCAAAAAGACAGACAGCTCCTTGAGGGCAGAGACCACATCTGCTTTATTCATCTCGGCTTCTGCCTGGCACCCAGTAAGGGTTTACAGAATGAAATAAAGTTCAAAAGCCCAAGCCAAAGAAAAGAAGAAACCCAAGTTGCTTTTCTCCCTGCAAACCAAACATTCCATCTTCTTTCTGCTCTCAAGCCCCACACCCTGGCAGCAATCCCAGACTCCCTGACCACCCAGAACCAGAGTCTCCTTTTACTTTCCTCTTTCTTGCCTCAATGCCTGTGAAACCTATTCCCTGCTGTCCATGCTCTCTTTCCCAAGGTCACTGTTGAGCTTCAAATCCTCTTACCTGGCTAGCTTGCTTGCCCCCCAACAGCCACCTGACTGGCTCGCTTGAGAACAGTTCTGATCTTCCTCTCAAAAAACTCAATATCTCTGCACCCCATATCTTGGCCTGATGTTCAAGGCCTGCCCACTACCCCCTCCACATGTCTCAGTCGAACCTGGCTGTCTTCTGTGTCCCTATACACTCCCTCGCCTCCTTGCCTCTGTGTCAGTTCCCATGTTGTTCCCTCCACTGAGATGTGAAACTTTCAATGCTACATCCCCCAGAATCAACTAAGAATGATTGCTTCTTCCCTCTCCAGTCACTTTATGTCTCTCCATTGCTACTTTTTACTTCCTGTTCTGGAAGTTGGTGGCCCATGTTCTTTATTCTTCCCCCATTTCCTGGAAATACTGGCTCTTTGAAGGCACAATCCTGTTTCATTCGAATTCATATACCTGTGGTGCCTTTATATAAGTACAGGTTAGCTAAATGTCACTGAGGTCTGTGACCATTCTCTGGCTTCTGCTGGAGAGCAAATGAAGGTGCCAGACAGCAACAGAGCAGAGGTAAGAGGTCCCTCCCCTTCTGCTCAGCATTGAATCCCCCTGGGGCCACTTACCAATGCAGGTAGGCTCGTGGGAATCCCAGAAGGGCTGGGTGGCATTCAGACAGGTAAGGAACTTGGCACCCTTCAGCTGATAGCCAGTGGCACAGTTGAAGCGGGCACTGCCCCCAGGGTGGAGACTGGTGACAGTCACAGTTCCATAAGTTGGACGTCGGGGGAAGTGGCAACTCAGGAGATAGGCTGCAGGGAGAGAATAGGTGAGTGTATGGGGGGCAGGTATTCTAGAAAAGATTCAGTTCCCTATTCAGGGAGTGCCAATGGTATTTCCAGCAGCCTGGGCTGATTGGTGGAGTAAGCTCAGAGCTAAAAGTTAGGAGTTCTGGGTTCTAGTATAAGTTTTGTGACTAGTTACTTAGGCTTGCTGTGTCTTTTTTTTTTTTTTTAAAGATTTATTTATTTATTTATACAAGCACTGGGTACACTCAGAAGCTCGGGAGGGTGAGAGGATTCACCAGAGCCAGAGCAGGGAGCAGAGCAGGCAGAGGGACCGAAGTACACTGCTGAGGGGAGCAGCGGGCGGCAGGAGAGGTCTGCGTGCCATGTGGGACCCTCCTCCAGTGGCCGGGGAGCAGCCGAGGATCGAACCAGCGCTGCAGAGGCTGCGGGCAGCTTTGCAACTCAGTGCTCAACCGCTGTGCCACCGGGGAGGCCGGCTTGCTGTCTTAAGCTTCCTTATTTGTTAAATAAATTTCAAAATGCTAGCCCCCCCCCCCACCAGGGTTATTTTGAGAATAAGTGAGATAGTATTTTATTCAACTTGGTATCCCTGGAACCAAGTTGATAGTTCATTTTCAAGAAATTTTTGTTGAATGACTTACAGATATAAAAGGACTTGAAATAATGAGAAGTCTATACTGATGTAAAATATTGATATTTTTCCTATAGAGGACAAATATGATTGCAGCAGGAAAGACTGAAGGCAGACAGTAAGTGCCTTCCGACTATTCATGAGAAATGCTAAAATGCTTGATGGCAAAGACCATGGACTTCTTTAAAAAACAGTGTGAGGGTTGGGGCCTACCTGGTGGTGCAAGGGGTTAAGATGCAACCTATGAAGCTCTCCTCAGCTACTGCAGCATGAGTTTGATCCCCAGCCAGGGAGCTACTCACATGGTGAGCAGACCTTTCCTGACTCGCCCGCTGCTCCCCTCAGCAGTGTATTTCAGTCAGTCTGCCTGTTCTGTTCCCCACTCTGTCTCTGGTGAATCCTCTCACCCCCCTCCACACCTCTGGCCTGTCCCCCAGTTCTTGTATGCATAAATAAATAAATCTTTAAAAAAAAAAAAAAAACAGGATGGGATGAGGGTAGGGAGGCAGGGTCTGCTTTCATGGAAGTTGGAGGAGGGACAACTTGCCCTGGGAAACCTGATAGCTCTTTGGACTTGTCATACCAAGTATGACCAAATGGTGGCAGCAAATCCTACAAAACCACCTGCAAATCCAACCCAGTTACAGTAGAGTTGACTGAAAATGGGGTCAGGTCTTGGGTCTGAGAGGTGGGGAAAAAGGTGGGAGAAGCTGAGGAGGGAGGCTGAGCAAAGTCGTGGGTTATAGCCCAAAGACCGTTGGAGTAGTGGGAGAGACTGTCTAAACTGAGGAACCACTTGAGGGTTGGGAGGGGCAACAGGCGGATGGATGGGACAGATGCAGACCGGCGCTTCTGTGTGCCTTTGTGTGAATAGAAAATGGGGATACCTCTGGGTAGACCAGGGTACAGAAACATGTTTTGTGATTGTCACCTGTCCTGGCTTTTATTACTAGGTCTGTGAAAGGGGAGATGATTCCTGTTCTTCCCTCTCTAGTGGGAGGTTCATTGTGATTAGCAGGCAGTACAGGGCAGAGGTCAGGATGTGGACTCTGGGGTCTCACTGCCTGGGTTTGAATAAGACTCCCCTACTTGCTCTACTTACTACCCCTACTTGCTCACCTTGGGCACCTCTATCACCAGGGGGCTGTGCCTCCTCACCCTGCAATTTACCTGACTTCTCTGTACCTGTTTCCTTGTTTATACCCATTGGGAGTACTGCATCCCGAGTCGTGTGAGAGGTGGAGAGGACATGTGTGCCTGGCACAGAACAAATACAAAAGAATGTGCCAGCATGATGTTACTGTTTGTAACCTTAATAACCTTAACAACCTTACACCTCACATGTGCATGCCCTTTGCAGCTTCTACAATGCTACTTGGTGCCTACAACATGTCTGGGAAGAAGGAAGGTAAGGGAGGGATTATTAACTCATTTTCAAATGAGGAAAACTATGGTTCAGGGAGACCGAATGATTTGTCCTGGTCTCATAGCCAGTAAGTGGCAGAGTGGGCACTTGATGCTTCCGGCTGGACCCTGCTGGCTTTCTATCTCCTCCCCACCTGCACCTCCAGGTGAAGTAGAAACTTGGACTCAGGAGTCGGCATAACCTGACAGTAACGGGCAAGTTTGCACTGAGTGGTTGTGCAGGGTGGCCACTGAGAGAGACCCCAGGCCAGGATAGGGTGGAGAACAGAGTGTGAGGTACTCCACCCAGAAGGGAGATGGTCTGTCACTCTAGGAAGTCCAGGTCATGAGCCAGACCTCGTGCACAGCACTAGTACTTACATCTTCCTCATGGGTTCTTGTCAGAACTCTGGAAAGGGAGGTTCCCCATTTTTAGAGTAGAAAATTGAGCTGGGATGAGGTGAGAGCAGGAGGCTGGGGGCAGGTGACAAAACCCCCAGACTCCACAGTGGATAAAGTGCCACTTCCTAGGATGAGCTTCCTCCTGTTGCCATGACGACCGTTCCCGGGGAGCCTGCACCACTGCAATCTGTCGAGCTATTTTCTCACTGGCGTCTGTTTCTGGGGCCAAGTTCGGTGCCAGGAATGTTCAGGAGGGAGGAGGCAAATGCCTGGCAGGGCCCTGTGCATCCTCACCTGGGTTTGAGGAGGCTATGGAGGGGAGTTGGACCTTGCTCCTGACCATGAGGCCCTTGTGGCGGCCCATCCTCGTGACCTCTAGCATCATTTTGGGCGGCTCTGGCAGGAGTGTGGCTACTAGACTCCTCACCCCCTCTTCTGGCACCCTCTTTCTCCAGCCCAGGGAGACGCGCGTGTAAGCACACGCTCCTCCTGTTCCCATCTCTGGGATCAGGGCTAATTACAGCCTATAATTAGGGGAATTACACTCATTAAGGAAAGAGCTGATCATTGACAAAAACTGGGCCGTGGAGGGAGGGCTTCTGGGAGCTGAGAAGGAGGCAGCACTGGGCCAGATATCCTGCTTCCCACTTAGGGTCTGCACCCCTTTCCAGGCCTCCAACTTGCTGCCTTTCAGTCACCTTTGTCTGGCACAACAGAAGGGAGGTCCTGGGTTTTATGCAAAGGAATTCACAACAAGGGAGAAAGTTAGCATGGCGTGAAATTATGCCCCTGCTAGGGAGGATTGATGAGCCATTAGGGAGGCTGGCTAGGCCACCTAGATGCTCACCCTTGCCTCAGAGAGCCCCTTGCTCTGCCAAGCCCCTGCCCACCACCAGGGCTCCCTGCTGATGTGCCAGACTTCTCCCCAAGTTTGGGCAAAGAGGCCAGGAAGGAGCGAGTGCCCCTTAAGTGGGGTTCCGAGCATCCCCATCTCCAGTGCCTGCCCTCCTCTCGGGCTGAGGCCCCCCGCAGTCCGTGACAACCTAAGGCAATGCTGTGATTGTTTACACCAATTATTTCCACATTAGCACTCCCCAATCTGAACTGGTTACAGGGATCAAAAAGGGCATCCCCGGTGGCGCAGCGATTGAGCGCTGGGTTGCGAAGCTGCCCGCGGCCTCTGCAGCGCTGGTTCGATCCCCGGCTGCTCCCCGGCCACTGGAGGAGGGTCCCACATGGCACGCAGACCTCTCCTGCCGCCCGCTGCTCCCCTCAGCAGTGTACCTCGGTCCTTCTGCCTGCTCTGCTCCCTGCTCTGGCTCTGGTGAATTCTCTCACCCTCCAGCGCTTCTGACTGTACCCAGTGCTTGTATGCATGTATGTATAAATCAATCAATAAATAAATCTTTAAAAAAAAAAAAAACTTGGCATGGAGAAGGGGGGCCAGAAGGGATTCTGAGGGGAGAAGTACAGAGTCCCAGCCCCTATACCTCCCTTCCCCATCCTGCCAGCTCTTTAAGGCTCTTTCATGGAGCATGTGCTAAGCACTTGACACATACCATTTTGTTTAATCCTCAGGGCAACTTTGTGGAGTAGGTGTTTTAGTCTCATTTTGTGGCCAAGGAAAAGGAAGGTTAGAAAGGTCAAATGACCTGTTCAAGGTCAACACCAGTGGGAAGGAGATTTAAACAGATTGCTCCATCTCCTGTTGATTGATTTAAACAGATTGATCCATCTACCTGTGATTTTCCCCGTGACATCATGCCATTGGTTGACGAGGGCATGGGCCAGCTCCAAGGTGGCTGAGATAGTTCAGGAAAGTCAGACTGGTAGCTAAGGACATCCAGATGGTCACTGTCAGGCCCATTTGACCTTGACCCCCTTGCTTTTGGGGAGAAGGTTTCTATCTTTATTGCCTATTTAAATGTCTGCCTCCTCAGGAGATTGTGAACTGGAGGGGAAGGACCTGGCTGGTTTACCTTGATATCACTTGGCAAAGAGCAGATGCCTAGGAAAAATTTACTCAATGAATGAATGAATGAGTGGGAATGGACACACCTGAGGCTACCTGGTCCTGTGTCAGCCCCCCTTCAGGACCAGTTCTCGGCAGGGTGATAGGTGGAGGAGGAAAGGTCCTGGATGTGTCAGATGTGCCTACTCACCTCCCACTCTACAGGGCTGCACTGGGCACCTGTGCTGTATTTCCTAGTTTCTCCCTGTTCCCCCCACCCCCGCCCACACCCAGAGTTTAATAACACCAGAGAGCCTGAGGATGACAGCCAGTCTGAGCTAGTTCTTCCCTCAGTTGTCCAGGCCTACCTTGGTAGTGGAAATGGAAGGTGCCAGGCCCAGCAGGAGGTGGAAGACTCTGGAACCTCAGAGCCGCCTGGTGGGTAGGACTGCGGATGACTTGACCCCTCAGCATGAAAGACTGGTTGGCCAGGGGCAGTGGGTCAGGTCCCCCCAGGCCCTCCACAGTCACAGTTTCCCCTTCCTGGAGGCTGATGTTCTGCACCTGTGGGTAGAATAGAGCATGTGAAGCTGGGTCAAGCTTCCAAGGTCACAGAGAGATGATTAGCACAACTGGGATTTGTAAAAGCATGTTTCTGTCTCCAAAGCTCTTCAACTACAACAGCTGCTTCTCATCTCTTCAGTTGTCTGGGTTCAGTTTTCTCATCGATAAAGTGGGGGCAGGGTAGGTGTGTTGAACTAGGTGATGTTTGAGGGCCTGGTCAACAATGTGAAGTTTTAAGCATCAAATCTGTGTGCCCTGCTTTTTTTTGTAGGTGCCCTGTTGGATGCTTTGTCGGCACCTCTCACTCATCCTGCCTCATAATGAGCTGCTCTCTCCCCTCAAACTAAACTAGCAGCTTCCTTGGCTCCTCACTCAGAAAATGACCTTATCATCCACGTGCCCAAGTCAGAAACTGGCATTTCGCTGCCTCCTTCATACCTCACACCTATCAGTCACTCAGTTCTGTCAATTGGGCCCCAAATCTATTCAGTACTCTTTACTCCCACTGCCACTTCCCCAACTCTTCACTGTAATCGCTTGCCTAGGTCATGCGGCACTCTCCTGCCAGCCTCCCCCTGCCCGCAGGATTGCATCCCCTCCTCCCCCCATCAGTATTCTCTGAACTCAGACAGTTAAGAGCCGTAACTGTTGCTAATCATGGTGCTTCCTTGTTGAGCTCCTCCAGTGGCTCTTCAGTAAGTGCACAAAGCTCATAGTATCTATCCCAGATTCTTTGCTGTGGCCTTCAAGGCCCTGCAAACTTGGCCCTGCTGCCTGCTCAGCACCAGGCCCGACATCATGTCCTCCCCGCGCCAGCCATGAGTCTGTTCTCTCTTTCCTGGGCTTCTTCCCTCTAGCTGCCACAAGCTCCTCTGCCCTCAGTCCCTAGGGCATCCTTCTGGGCTCCAAACCTCCATTCCAGCCCTCTGGGCACAGTGCCGCACAGGGAACGCCTTCCCTTCCTCCCTTCCAGTGAAGTTGGTCATTCTTTCAGATCTTAGGGTCACCAACCTCTGCTTCCCAAGCAAGGCCAGTCAGTTCCTTTGCTTTAAGCCTTCTCTGCCTGTCCTCTCCCCATCTCTTTGTTAAAACCTAGGGTGGCATTTTGGGTCACGACACCCTCTTCACCAGTCAGCTGCAATAAAGATGCGTGGAGAGAGTGCGGCCATGGGAAGTACATTTCTCCCCTGATTCCTGTGAGCTGGAAAGTGCAGAGGATGCTGAGCACAGCCAGGTTCATAGAAACAGCTGTGTTAGACTCCGGGCCCCTCAACTGTGGGTGCTGAGAACAGATGTGCCCTGGGGATGCCCTTGCTTGGGAGAAAAGACCTGGGCGTTCTTGGGGATCCAAGAGCACATGTAAGGAGGGTGCTGGGACTGAAGTGACACCCTTCGGTGAGGAGCTCCCTTCTAAAGCACTTTGGGCGGTGGCGGCTGGACCATCTGCCAGGGACGTCCCCCAGGGAATTCCTGCGGCTGGCGGAGGCTGGATGAGGTCCCTTCAAACTTGGAGATTCTGATTCTAGAGTTGGGCAAACAAGACTCACACACGTGGAATCTGTAATTATCGAGAGATGCCAGGCAGCATATAATTCTGCCTTAAGTGGCACTGAATGCCTGCAGCAGGAGTCCTGGGGGGGGAGTGGAGGAGCTGCAGGCTCTGAGAGCACAGGAGCAGGTGGGCTGGGAGTGCCTTAAAGGGAGGTGGGGACAGGAGGAGGAAGGGAGGCCATCACTGCAGGGAAATTACTAAGGCAGTGAAGGCAGAGAAGTAGAGATGAACTTGGCATTTTTTTCCCTAGTTGCCTTAAACACCCTTTTTACCTCTAGCTTCTAGTTCCCGACCCTGCTGCTTTGCCAGCAACAGAACAGCAGCAGCAGCAGCAATAAAAATAATTACCATTTACAGAGCACCCACAATGTGTCAAGCCTTGTACTATTTACAGATATTGTTTCATATTCTTAGCACTGTTCTATAAGGTAGGTAGTAAAATCCCCATAAGTAAACAGAGGTTCAGAGTGGCTAAGGAACTTGCAAAAGGTCATACAGGTGTTAAGCTGCAGAGTCTTGCCTTGCTGGAGGCAAAGGCAGCTCCTTCCCTCTCAACCTCTTGGTGATGTCACCTGCAGAAACAGACTTCTAGACATCTTCATTCCCAGCCATAGGCCTTCCAGGTTAGCAGCAGAGTGTTGGCCAGACCTGGCTTTTCCCAAAATGTTTATATCTTGGATATAAACATTGTCTAACATGGTAGATTTATATTCCCACCAGTCACCCTTCCCCTCAGAAGCCAATAAAGCTGAGAAAACTGGGAGCTGAGGTGCCTGGGCTCCTCTAATCTGGGAGAGGCATGGCCCCCCTCAAAGTTTGCCTGGCTCTTGACCCTGGTGGTGAGGATTAAGATCAGAAGGTGGGAAGGAGTGGGTCTGGGTGGCTTGGACCCAGCAGGCACCCGGTTCTCAGCCAGTCTGTCTGTTCAGCTCTGGTCCCTAGGGTTTCAAGCACCCACTTGCAGACTTGCCGCTGTGGCTGGAATGTAATTTGTCACTTGTGTGAGGGCCAGGCCTGACAGGGGCCAGACAGGCCTGGGTGTTAGACAACGAGGTGAGGACGTCTTGATGCAATTTGCAGGCATCTGAAGAGCTTGGGAGACAGATTGAAATGTCAGTTCTGCTCACAAGGGCCGTCTTCCCACACCCTTAGCCAGTGACAGGAGGGGACCAGGGGGCCAGGCAGAAAGACAGAAGCAGGGGGAGCTGAGGACAATTCCCATAAGACTGTGGGTTATCTCACCCCGGCCAACTTCCAGCCAAGCACAGGGTCAGGGAAGGAAATACAGCCATTGTGAGGGGGATGGATGGGCGGTGAGGCTGAGTCAGGCTGCCTTTGCCAACTTGACTGTCGCAAGGAAGCTGCCAGTCAGGTATTCGGAACACAGCCTAGTGGTATGACTCACAGGTGGGATGGGGCCACAGTCTTTGCACACAGCTGCCCAAGTGCAACCCTGCAGGGGCAGATGAGCTCTAGGATGTATCTTGTATGCAGCACCACTTCCAGCATCTGAGCCCCCTGTCTCCTGTCTCGGCTCCTGACCACAGCCCCTGCTCCACACCGCAGGCCCGGTCACCGCCACTGGCGTGTGTAACTGACAAGGGGCTCGCTGCATGCGCACCCTTCCCTCCAACACATGTGCAGGTATGTCCTCCGCACAGGCACTCCCTCACACTCTTCAGCTCCCTCATGCCAACAGTGATGTAATAGCACCTTTTCCTATGAGACCCTTGATAGTTTTCACAGCTCTTTCATACCTATTGTTCTCTCAGCTCTCATGAACCACAATAAGGCAGGCAGGACAGGCAGGGTTTACCACCAAGCTATGGCTAAGGGAAGCTTGTAACCAGAGAAGCGGAGAGCTCCTCTTTGGGCTCACACAGGAAATCCTGGTAAAACTGGTGCACCAAGTCCTTGTTTGGGCTTTGCCTCCTGCACAGCATCCCAAGCCTCACCCCAAAATGGGCGAATTCCAGGTGGGTGTCCCTTAGGAGCAGGCGGGGCCTACTGAGGAAAGAGGTTGGTGCAGAACCCAGACACCTTTCCACAGCTGGAACTCCCTATCTGGATTTGTCCCCTGCCAGGTCAACCTCCTGGACCAGGGAAAAACAGGAGCTCTTGAGTCCTGACATCAGATCCCAGCTCCATAATCTTCTGGTTGAAAGGTTTTTGGGTCATAGGTTCTTGGGCAAGTCATAAGGACTCTGAGCCCCAGTTTTGCCTGTGGAATGGACAATAGAACCTACCTCATGGGGCTATAAGGATTAAATTATTTCCCAGCCCCCACTGTAGGGGCTCAGCACAGAGGGGGCACAGCATTAGAAGTCTTCTTTCCCTTCCTGGGGAACCCTGGACTCCACCCCGGCAAAACCCTGGCATTTGCCATGTTGACAACTGACTGTGGACCCACCCCACCCTTGGGTCTCACAGCTAGAGACTACCTGGGAACTGACCTCTCTCAGGCCCATGTTCTGCAGCTGCTAGGGAACAGGAAGCCAGGTTGAGGGGTGAGGTGCCACTGCCCATTTCAACCACAAGGGAGCTACCTGAACCAGAAAAGGAGTGTCACTCAAGAGATTGGCTTCAGTCTGCTTTTACAGGAAGGCCAGAGAAGGCCTGGGGCTTAGCCCAGACACCAAGGGGTAAAGTGCAGATACAGGACAGGAACCCCAGTCTTTTGTGACAGTTTCTGGGCTCTTGCCTGAACTGATGCTCATCCACAAATCCTTATGGGACAGGGTCTGCTCGAGGGATGGAGAGAGGGGCCTAACTGCATGTACCCCTGTGGCCTCCCTCAGATGGCCCCTCTGGGAATCAGTAAAGAAATCCCCCAAATATCTCCCCCACTGACCTGCCACCCTCTTTCTGGTGCCCACATCGAGCCTGGTCCTGACCTGGTCTAGAAGGGCAGGGTGATCTGGCTGTCAAACTGACAGCTTGTCTGGTGTGGGAGATGTGTGTGCCACTGGGGCCACCTTGGGCCTAAGCAGGGGCTGTGGGCAGCTATGTCCAGGCTCCAGATGGTACAGAGAACATTAAAGCCAAGATAGAGGCTGGCAGTGGGAAGCACTGGAATGCCAAATGCAGTGATAGGCAAGTGCCAGGCCCAGAAAGGCCTGGAGCCCTCAGGGAAGACTGGCTGTCTAGAGAGGGGATGAGAGCCATGTGGGCCATGGTGTTCATGTCCACCCATCCTGAAGGTATTTCTCTGGCTCTCTCAAGAAAGAGCCTGCCTAGTGTCTCCGTGCAGGCTGAAACTGGTAACACCCCTCTGATCATGGAGGGCCTGACCTGGCCTCTTCTATGTGGGCAGATCAGATCCTCAACCCAGAGGGCACCCTGAAGTGAGGTGGGAAGTGTGGAATGAAGCAGGTTATGAGGGACTGTGGTCCAAGTTGTGGAGAGCTGGGCTGTTAGAGATTCTGGAGCCCGTGAGGTTGGTCCTCATGAAAAGGGAATTGAGGGCCTCCCCTGATGGCGCAGGCGGTTGAGCGCAGCGCTGTGAAGTTGTCCGCAGCCTCTGCTGCGCAGGTTCGATCCTGGCCTACCGGGTCGGGTCCCACATGGCGCGGCAGACCTCTTCTTTCTCACCTGCTGCTCCCCTCAGCAGTGTATTTCGTCAGTCTGCCTGTTCTGTTCCCTGCTCTGTCTCTGGTGAATCCTCTCACCCTCCCGTGAATCTGACCTGTACCCTGGTTCTTGTATAAATAAATAAATAAATCTTAAAAAAAGGGAGGGGAATTTGGAGAGGTTTTTGCCCAGGGCCCCAGATTTTAGCAAGGGCTGCCGCCGTCATGGGGCTCAGCATGGTGTCAGGGATGTGATTTGTGAGACCTTAAGATGATCTCATCCAGGGCCTCCCTGGTGGTGCAAGGGGTTAAGTGTCAGCAATCATGAAGCTATTGGCAGCCACTGCAGCATGAATTCAATGCCCAGCCAGGGAGCTAACCACATGGCAGAGCAGACCTCTCCTATCTCACCTGCTGCTCCCCTCAGCAGTGTATTTCAGTCAGTCTGCCTGTTCTGTTCCCTACTGTCTCGGGTGAATCCTCTTACCCCCCACACCTCTGGCTAGTACCCCAGTTCTTGTATGCATAAATAAATAAATCTTTAAAAAAAAAATGGTCTCATCTCGTTGCCCAGATGCCATCCCATTCTACTGGGAATTCATGGAGGAGCAGACAGAGATTTATCCAGAATGGGGAGATGATGCAAGCCTTTCCCCAAATCTGAAGTAGCAACGGTCAGCCTTCTAGGCCTTCCAGCTGCCTCACTCATCTAACCCTAATTCCCAGCACAGCCTGGCTTAGCTGCTAACCCCAGACAGAAAGGTGTTCTCAGGCCTGAACTGTTCCTGTGCCATGAGGGTCAGTCTGCTTGGGCTGCTGGTCGCTTGTGCATCAGGCCTCAGAGCAGGTGTCATTACCTCCAGGAAGCTTTCTCTGACATCCCAGGCTGGTGGAGTGGACCCCACCCTGGAATCCCCACAGTCCTCTATGCTTCCCACCTCCATCTTCAATAGCACTGGGCCTTCTGTGCTCACAGTTTATGATTTCTCTCTCCCCCACTGTGTAGATCTGTGTCTCCAGAGCCTAATCTCTTATAGAGAGTAATTGCTCTATTGAAAATCACACATCAAAAAAAAGAAAAAAAAAGAGAGAAAATCACACATCAAAACAAAGAAATACAAAGTATAGCCCTTTCCCCCACACATGCGCACAACATTAATGATTAACTGTGTGACCTTGGACAGTTCCCTTTCCCTGCCTGGGATAGTTGGTTTTTCCAATGATCCAATCAGCGGGTATAGGTCAGTAGTGCCAGTAATGCTTCAGGTCCCAGTGGCCAGTGTGGCACAGCCAGGAGGCCTAGATGGAAACAAGGGTTGTGGAACTGATTCCAGAAGGAGAACCTTAAATCTTGCTCTGGCCCTGGCTGATTCTGTCCCTCACCCTCTCCCTACCATGGCCTCAGATTCTATCTCAGGCCAACAGGGGCCACAGGATCCCCAAGGGCCCTGTCCCCAAGGCACTGAGGTGGAGGGTGGCACTGGGATCAGCCCACCACGTTTCCTGATAGTGATCCAGGGCTGTGGCAGGTCTTTGCCTCCAGGTTGCCTGGTAACAGCTTTTGCATTTTGATGAAAAAAAATGTGGCAGCACCAAACAGACACAGGGCTTATGTGGAGGTGGGGTAGGGGGTCAGCATCCAGGTGGGGCCTGTGCCTGGGCCAGGGCTGGGGCAGGCAAGCCAGCATCTTGCCTTATTATAGAGAATACCAGAGCTGGGTCCAGCCTGGCCCAGTGGACTTCAGAGAGGGGTAGTCTTTGAGGGGCAGGCAGAGCCAGCACAGACCTGCACGGGGACACCTAGACTGGCATCTGCCCCTTCCCACCCCGTTCTCCACACCTGCAGCTGGCGCCTTCCACCCTGTGAGCCACAGCCGGTGCCACCTCTCATTAGGTGATAATTTTACATTAATTACTTTAATTAAGCTGCACTGAGTGCTAATGGCTTGGTGGGGGGGGGACTGTTCCTAATTACCTTTCCAGTCAGCCCAGAGTGAGGGGCATAGAAACTGGCAGGGCAGGAGCAAACAGTTGCAGAAGGGGACAAGATCACCAGTGGTGGGAGAGGGTCCCTTCCTCTCACAGCCTGACTGAGAGACCTGATACCCTCAGAGGGGGGCTAGGGCACTGCCCAGGACAGGTGTAGAGGGCTCTAGGCCCAGATCAGGGCACTGTGGTGGGTGGGGAGCAGGCTGGGAGTGGGCAGCAGGCAGCACTGCCCTGTTCCCTGGACTGACCTGCCCCTTCCCTGTGCTCTTGAGATGCCTGCCTGACTGTCTCAGCTGGGTGGAGGGCCTCTCCCCTCTCCCGTCACTCAGTCTCCAGAGGCAGGTCAGACATCTCTTCATTCCTTCCTCCTCATTCCTTCATCCATTCAGTCAACTGTGGAGAATCCACTCTGGGACCCATGCTCCAAGGTACTCCTGGAGGAGCTCACACTCTGGCTGGGGAGACGGACAGCTATAAGCAGGTGGACAGAAGGCCGAGTGGTGCAAGATAGGATGGGGGATGTCCCAGGCTGTGGGGATCAAGAGAGAATTTCCAGAGAAAGTGATGAAGGTGGTTTTTGAGTCCCATGGGAGGGGATGGTAGGAAGCCTGTGGGGAAAGCAAGCTTAGCCCATTCTGCTAGCTGTGAGCTGTTCCGTACAGAGGGAAGGAGAGGAGAGGGAAGTTACTCTAGCCACGCCCAGAGGCCTCCCCTTGATGCAGAGGCCCCTGGGGAGGCACGGGAAGTGGGACTGATTTCCTTTGAGAAAATGGCTGCCATGTCGTGGCAGAATGGTTGGGAGGAGGCAACAGGTGAGGTGCGCTGCACCATTGGGGGAGGGATGATAGAGGATGGACCGTGTGGCAGGTGTGGAATGGAGGGAGAGAAGTAGGCAGATCTGAGTGTTGAGGAGGCTTATGGCACTAGGCCTTAGGAAAGAAAGAGAACTGTGTGTGTGTGTGTGTGTGTGTGTGTTGAAGTCTACCTCTTGGTTCATCTATTACCTTGTTGAAAGAAGGGGACCACCTTTTCTTGAGCACCTACTATGTGCAATCTTATCTTAGTTCTCACCTTGGGGCCCCAAGTTGACCTCAAATTGCATGTCTCCAGGAGCACTGTCCATGCTGGGTGTGGTGGCCTGCTCTATCTAGGCTTCTGGCTGTGTGGGGTCAGTCTCTGAGGATACTGGGGTGGAAAGCAGGTTTGAGGAAACAGAAAGGAGAGTGGGACATCCCATCCCAAGTGGACCTTCAGGCTCAGGTGTGGCAATTAAGAGGAGTAAGAGGGATGAGGTGGCCCAGGGAGGCCGGAGGCAGGCAGCTAGGGCTGTAGGTCTGACTCCCACCAATGGGTCCCCTCTCTGATGGTGCAGCTGTGCCTATCTCTCCCACCTCTGCACCCCAGAAGCCAGTGCAGGGCCTGGTCCAGAAGAGCTGCTCAGGGAGTATTTGCTGAAGGAATGAATAAGTGAATGAGGCTCCATGGCTCTTAGGTCTAACCAGGTAGCCCTGTATTCTCTCTACTCAACGACATAGATCCAGACACTCACTTAATCACCTGCCCAGTGGAGTTTAGAGCCTCCTCCGCAGGTTCTTCTGGGTCCCTCATTAAAGCCCTGGGGGAAATGGGTGCACACACCTGCCCCCCTCCCCCCAGACCATCTCAGCCTAGGGCATTGCTGAGGGGGAGCAGCAGCACTTGCCACTCTCTGCTGCAAAGGGCAGGATCCCACCATGTTTTAGGCCCATCACCAGCCCTAGCCCTAGGCATCCCCTCCAACTGATAGCCCCGAGCACCCCTCCCTTCCTCCATAGCCAGTGCCTTTTGGGAAAGATGATGCTCCAGCTTGGCCCAGGCCAGATCCAGGTCACTAACCTTGATTTCCACACCGTATCCAGGATAGACGGAGATGTAGTAGAAACAGTCCAGGCTGATGTCAGCAGGTAAGCTGGCTGCTGGGGGGGAGTCCAGAGAGCCCTCTGGGCCTGAGAAATTCCAGCTACAAGGGCCTGGGAGGCAGGAGGAGACAACGCTAAGTCCAGCTCTGGTAAAATAGGTTCAACTAAGTCAACTGAGGTTGATGTGCGTGTGTGTATGTGTGTGTGTATGTTGAAGCCTATCTCTTGGTTCATCTATTACCTTGTTGAAAGAAGGGGACCACCTTTTCTTGAGCACCTACTATGTGCAATCTTATCTCAGTTCTCACAATAGCTCAATAAGGTGGGTCTTATCGCCATTTTACAGGTGAGGCTCCAAGGAGGTTAATAAAATTCTTGAGGCCTCTTACAGTTCCTTCCAATTGGGATTTGAATCCAGGTCTATCTGGTTCCATTCCACATGCCTCCTGAAGATTGACCCTTGGTGCCAAAGGACAAGGCATGCTGCATAGTGACAGAGGAATTTAGACTCCCCCACCCCCCTGCATCCCCATTTCCAGATTTGGGAGCCAGCAGGTAGCTGACCTGGTGGCTGGACCGTGGTGATAGTGGTAGTGACAATGGTGGTGGTGGTGGTGGTCTCATCATCATCCCCTGAAGCTGTAGAGGTGGCGATGGTCCCCTCGATCCCAAGCCCTGTGTTCTGGGACATGACGTCTGGAGTCCATGGTCTGCCCATGTCTCCGGGCCCTTCTTGGGTTGGAGTCCATGCTCTGCTAGTGGGTGCAGTATGGGGCTTCTCCCCTGGGCCTGGTGTAGGCACTGCCATGCTGGGTCCTGGCGGTAGGGGAGCTGTGATATGAAGTGCAGGAGGTTCTGACTCCAGGCTCCAGGGTCCCTCCCTGGACTGGGGCTGGGTGGGCTCTGCAGCCATGGCTGGAGTAGGGCTGGTGAAGACGGGGCGGCTGTCCTGGTTGGCCAAGCGGGGAAGGGGACTTGGGGTGAAGGGGGTCAGTGGGTCAGGCTGGAAGGGCAGTGCTGGTCTCAGCTCTTCCTCACCCCCCGCCAGCCCTTCTTGTAAGAATTCCTCCAGCAGTGGGTGATGATTGAGCAGCTTCAGTGTAGGGGCCGTCGTGACGAAGTGGACTCCTCGTTCTGGCTGCTCAGGTGTGGGGGCCGCTGTCAGCTCCCCATCCATCTCTTCGAAGCCTGGGACCTGGCCCTCCCCCATGGTTGGGGCCTCTGAGGAAAGTCCTGAAATAATAAATGGATGATCAGATGTCCTGCCCCAGCCCCACCGTGAGCAGTCGCACACCTAGTCCTGGCAGTAGGAGATCTATCTCCTTTTTGACAGGGAGCCTTGGGATGTGCTCACGGTTGAAAATCACGAAGCTATAGAATTTTAGAGCTGAAAGTGAGATTATATCGCATACTTCAAGGATGGCACATGAGATATCCTTTCCCCTCTAACATTAGAGGTGGACATTACTAATCTATCATTGCACTATTTCATTGCTATTCTATATCATTGCTATTCTCAGATTCAGCCTCGGAATCCTCCTTAACACAGCATTTCAGGCAGATATGCCTGATGCTTCATACCAACATAACAAATAAATATTTGCCATCCTTCATGTAGCTCAAAGATCTTAGGTTTTGCTCATCTTACTGATGTGGAAACAGGACAAAGAAAGGAAGTGATGGGCTTCCTTGGTGTCCTAGGGGTTAAGTCTCAGCGCTATCACTGCTATGGCCTGAGTTTGATCCCCGGCCAGGGAGCTAACCCACATGGCACAGCAGACCTCTCCTGTCTCGCCCACTGCTCTCCTTAGCAGTGGATTTCAGTAAATCTGCCTGTTCTACTTCCTACTCTGTCTCTGGTGAATCCTCTCACCCCCTGTACCTCTGGCCTACACCCCAGTTCTTCTATGCAAAAAAAAAAAAAAAAAAAGGATGTGACTTACTCAAAGTCACACAGTCAATCAGAAATGAGCCCCCCTACACAGGGACTTTTGCCTTGGATTATAGAGCACTCAAATTTATTTTTTGTTCTCAGTGAACTTGCTGGAAATGCTTCCTATATTTGGGTTTTTATATTCTTTCATGGGTACATGACATCTTGTTAGGATCTTTTTTTTTTTTTTTATAGAGGCATGTTTTTTTTAATTTATTTGTTTGTTTGTTTGTTTTGTTTATACATGCACTGGGTACAGTCAGAAGCGCGGGAGGGTGAGAGAATTCACCAGAGCCAGAGCGGGGAGCAGAGCAGTCAGAAGGACCAAAGTACACTGCTGAGGGGAGCAGCGGGTGGCAGGAGAGGTCTGCGCGCCATGTGGGACCCTCCTCCGGTGGCCGGGGAGCAGCCGGGGATGGAACCGGCGCCGCAGAGGCCGCGGGCAGCTTCGCAACCTAGCGCTCAACCGCTGCGCCACCGGGGAGGCCCGGATCTTTTTTTTTTTTTAAGATTTATTAATTTATGCATACAATAGCTGGGGTACAGGCCAGAGATGTGAGGCTGAGAGATTTCATCAGAGACAGAGTAGGGAACAGAACAGGCAGATTGACCCAAGTACACTGCTGAGGGAAGCAGCGGGCGGGTCAGGAGAGGTCAGCTGCGCCATGTGGGCTGCTCCCTGGCCGGCTGGGGATCAAACTCTTGCTGCAGAGGCTGCGGATTGCTTCCAGTGCGGTACTTAACCCCTTGCATCACCAGGGAGTTTTAGGATCTTGTTATGCCCGTTTATCTCACTTCTCAGAAAGTCATTTCTTCTGACTCTTTTTGCTGTTTTGTTTAGTTTTTGGTTCGTCTAGAACGGTACTGTTAGCCAAGCTCTGGAGTAAGGCAGATGTGACTTTACATCCCACATTCATCACTTTGGGGTTCTGTGATCTTGAGCAAATAAACTAAGCTCTCTGAATCTTAGTTTTCTCACCTGTAAGATGGGGTTTCTTTTTTTAGGATTAACTGAATGAAATTACTTCCCTCCCCATTTGATATGTATCTCTCAATTCCCTTTATCTTTCTTGTGATGCTAGCCAGGGCCTACCTAGGGCCTAGTAAGGCAGGGATAGAACGGTCATCTGGCCAGCTCCCCACCCATCCCCCCAATCCATGGCAGCCATTGTTAACCAATTTTGGTTATTTCTTGCAAAGGTCACAAAGGACTTTGGAATCCTCAGCAGTGATTCAGACAGCCACTATCAATTGATTAGATAGGCTATGGAAGACGAAACGCCTTTGTTCTTGTTGGTCTGCTTTGATTAAGTCAATTTATTCAGACATACAGCTGGAGAAAAGATGCGTATTCTGCTTGAGGCCCACTAGGTTCCCCAGATCCTTAACTGTCAGAAAAAGGTCAATGGAGGCTGGCTCCAGATTTGGCTCATATAGAATTTTTCCAGCTCCAAGAAACCTGGAGATATTTGGATTCTAACAGTTCTCAAAATGGCTGCATGAGGACTTGAAGGGAAACACAGCCAGGGCGAGAAAACAGTTTGCAAGGAGAAGGTTGGTTCTTCTGCACGTCTGGTGGTGAGGCTGTCATTCCACAGGCTCACACCCACCCCATGGATTGGCAGGCGTGAGGAAGTGGCAGATGGCCTACGTTCTGTTCAGGGGACCATGGCAGCTCTGATGTGTCAGACAAATGAGAGGAGGGAGGAAACTGGGGTGGGGGAGGTGCTCACAGGTCAGAGGGTTCTTCATTCCTCTGGGTCAGAGGGACCTGGATGCCCCTAAAGTCCTGAGAAACGAGGATCTGTGCTTATCTCCTGAGATGCCCACTAAAGCAGCCCATCTGTGCCCTGGCATTCTGTGCCAGACACTGACAACACAGTGCCCAAACTAGATGCCCAACCAGGCCCATGCCCCCCAGAGCAGATGGTGTGCCAGTGCCCTATGTCTTTCTTCTGAGTCAGTGATGGAGGGTCCATGCAGTGCCCATGACATGCCAGGACAGGGCTACTCTCTTTGCCCACCCCCCAGATGTCATACAGTCTTTGCCAGGCTAGCTGACAGTGGCCTTTGTATGGCACGGGAAGAGGTGGCTTTCTCATCATTCAGCTTTTCCCTTCTAGGATTGCCAGATAAGAGCCATGGCTCATGGTTCCAGGGCAGGTACCTGTGGGATTCTTCATTGGGAGAGGGAATGCAAAGAGATCCTCTGCCTCGGAAAGGAACCATAGTGGGCACAACTCCTCCCGCTCACTGCCAGGTGGGTGCTGGGCAATGGAGCAGAGCTAATGGGCACCTCCTGTCACTGTCGATTGCACTGATTGTGTTATCTGGGGGGACTGAGCACTTGGTTAAATGGGATCGAGATAGCATATCAAAGGAGCAAATTGATTCTGCAGTCAGCTGCCACTGGGTCCCGGAGGGTACCACCCACTGTCAGAGAGGGTAAGATAATCTCTGGGAGACAAGCCATTTTTGGGGAGAAGCCATCTTCATATACCCTAGAAACCTGAGGCCCTGTGGTCTTCCATCCAAGCCCAAGGCTCCTAGGGTTCTCTCTGCTTAGGTTAACAGTTCAAAGGTGCAGAGGATGACAGAGGGCGAGAATGGGATGCTATTCTCAGGGGCCTGGATGCCCAGTCTCATCAGGCACCTACTGTATGCTAGACACTAAGGCAGGCCATTTCCAGATTTTGTATTATTTGACATGACAACTCTGAGAGATGGGAATCTTGTTCCCACAATACAAAGACCCTGAAGCTCAAAGAGGTGAGATGAAGACTTGCCCAGTCTCACAGTGGTGGATCTGGGATTTGAACCCGTGTAGTCTGGCTTGAAAGCCTTAGTCTTTCCATATCAGTGTGATCCTCAGGAGAAGACAATAGCTACACAGCAGAGAACACTCTAGACAACAGAGGAAACCAAGGCCCAGAGAGGGGAATGGCCTTGTCCAGGGTCTCATGCCGGTAGGAGGAGCTGGCACCTGAGTTTGTCAGCTGGGACCTGAGTTGAGCCTGAGTGGAACCAGGTCCACAGGAAGTGTTAGGGTGGGACCCAATGGGCCCACAACTCATGTCCAAAGCACATCTGAGACTGGGACCCTAACCAGTCTCACTGGGCCACAGGGCTCAGGCACAAAATCACACATACCTGGTTCTTTGTCATTTGAAAGTCACATGAGCTTGACAAGTTGCCTCAGAGTCTTTGTGTCCTCAGTTGTAAAACAGGCACTCTGGAGGGGTTTATGAGAATCTGATGGTTTTGAATAGCAGTTTCCAGGGACCTGAGGGAGAGGTTACATTCCTAGGCTGGGCAGAACCTGCCAGGGCAACACTGAAGCAGGCCTGGGGCTGGGAGGGCCAGACTTCTCTGTGGGGGACCATGTTACTTGTTGTGTGGTAGTGTGTGTGCGCGCGCGCGTGTGTGTGTGTGTGTGTGTGTGTGTGTGTGTGAGAGAGAGACACACAGAGAGAGAGAGAGAGAGAGAGAGAGAGAGAGAGAGAGAGAGAGAGAGAGAGAGAGACCCTGGAGCATGCTAGCCTTCTCTGCGAAACAAGGGTAATACTGCACCACCAGTGCCAATGCAGCCGCCTTCAAGGCCTGAAGGTCTGTGGGGGCCAGGGCCTTGGCCCACAGTGAGACAGCCCTCCACGACCCCCACCTGTCGGTTGCCCAGGTGCCAGAACACCGGAATGTACTCTCCGGCCGCTCCTCCGTCCTCCCTCCTCAGGGCCCGTGGGTCCGGCACGGGCTGCCGCTTCCCCCGCTGGGTTTGGGAAACACCCAGCCCCTTCTCCACCGCGATTCCCAGCCTGCAGGAGACCAGGAGCTTCCCCCAAGGCCCCAATGCTGGCGTGGCCCCGACGCCGCCTGGGCCCTCCCCCCGCCGCCTAGGCCCTCCCCCGCATTAGCTCTTAAGCTATGCAAATAGACATCGGAGGGAGCCCTGTTTAAAGTATTTAGACGAAATGAAAAAAGGCTTTCATCGGCACTAATGAGCCATTCAGGATGCCTCCCCGGTGGATTCACTCCCGCTCCCGCCTCCCGGCCCGCTCCGTCCCCCTCCCCCCGGCCCCCGTGGCCCCTCTAGGGATCGCACGCCCGATCCCCGCGCTCCAGGCAGGGGCTCGCGAGGGCGGTGGCGTGTCCTGCCACCTCCACCCTGTGGTCCAGCTGGGTAAGGGTAGAGGTGAGGGCCCAAGCGCTGTGTCCCCCACGGACCTCCATGGGGAGCGGTGGGTGATGTCTAACCTCTGTTTAAGGGAAGTCAATGACTGGGAACTCTTCACAGCAGTAACTC